TACAACCGAAATATGCTTTTATTTACGAATTTGCGATTCGAAACGTGGATAAATGACATCAAGCCAGCCTTATAATCGGTTCTAGACAAAGGAGTCACGTTTTTTTCACTAATTTGAGTTTAAAATTTGAGTTTTATTACAATAAAAAGTTTTCAAAAATAGTCACATCTAACTTTTTTGTTACAGAAGGCTCTCACATAACATCACATCTTAACTCGAATTAAAAACTCAAATTAGCGAACCGACCGGGAACGTCATTCACGAATAAATAAATAAAAATGAGATAAATATTTCTTACGGTATATAAGTTTAAATTTTTTTCATTATTTTTAATTAAATAACTATATTTGTTAAAAGAATACTAACTTTACTTTTAAATATTTTTCATAAAAAATGAGTGACGTTCTTTAACACGTTATTTATTTAGGTAAAAGGAAGTCTTCTTTCATCGAAATTTTCCTTTAGTTGGGTAGTTTTTAAGCAGTATTGTTGCCACTTATTAGAGCAATATGTGGTTTTCAAACTTTTAGCTAAAAACGACATTTTTTTTAAAATTACAATTATTTTTTAGTTTATCCCTTTTTAAGGGTAGTTTATCCCGAATTTTCTTTCCTTACAATAAATTTCAAAATGAATGAACATTTCAATAAAGGACAATGATTTTATTTCAAACCATTACAAACAAAGTCTATTGCAAAAATTAGATTAAATTTCCATATTGGCATAACTCAAAGTTTAAACTGCAAAATGAGATATAAGTTGGGGATTTTTGTTTTAGAACATATAACTAAGGATACGAAATTTATATATTTTGTATAAAAATAAAATTAATAATTTTAAATTTAAACTTGGAACTTGAAAATGTTATTTTCTTTTCTTTTTTTTCTCTGACCGAGCATGTATGTTCTTTTTAGTCGATGTGTGTAATTTTGAAAAGTAAGGAAATAAACAAAGAAAGGGATGCAATTACAAACTATAAGAATCATCAATCTTTCTCTAAATTTTTTTTAAAAAAATCCATTTTTCATAAAGACAAAAACAATAATCAATATATAGTATAGTTTCAGGATTTACATTTTAGAGAATGAACATGTAATTGTGCTCTTATTTTGGGAATGATACTCTTTTTCTCTCACATATGATTTGTTTCCAAATATCAGTGTTCTTATTTGGCAATGACAATCATTGTTTTTTTTCCCCACGATCAATGAGAATCAGCCAAATTGCAAAAGCAGTAAATTTCCCTTTTAATGTTGATGATGTCTGTATTAATTACCGTCAATTTGACAATTTCATATCTTCAATGACTTAATGAGCTTTGATTAGCGACTCTGTAGTTGCAGTAAATGATTTAGGGTCGTTTAATTCATGCATTTAAATTAGTAATTTTTAATTTTAACATTTGAAATTTAAATATTTTACGAAAGAAAAATATTATAACAGAATTAAAATCATAAATTTAAATGCATGAAATAAACGAACCCTTAAATTTAACTTAATGACAATTTACCTCTACATTGGGATAGAGAGAAAGCAAACATTTTTCTCTCTAAGAAAAAATCTAATATAAGGAATAAAAAAAAAGATAATTATGCTGGATGACCCTTTTTAACTACCTCTTTTTATAAATGACCGAACTTTTTTTTATTTTATGAAAATGGACGTTTTGTTTACATGAGTCAATCAATGATTGGCTTATGGACCACGGTCAAGCAATGATTGACCTATAATTGATTGACTGATTCATTATTAATTTCTCAATGGTTTGTCATTAATAAACATGTAATTTATTAATTAAAATTGATTAATTACTAATTGATTTTACTTATTTATTAACTAATGTTGATTAATAATAAAGAATAATCGAGTTAATCCGTGATAAATTATAGTCCATTATGATTGACCACTAAGTCAATCAGTGATGGACCGCTGAGTCAATTAATAATTGATCACTAAGTTAATGAAAATGACAATTTTTGCAATTTTGTAAAACTTCGACCATATATGGAAAACATCTTCAAGAAAGAAATCCCTAAAAAAAATGCAAAGTTCATCTTTGTGTTTGTAGATCCATACCGTAAAAAATGTAAATATCTCAAAATGCATTTATGCATTTATGATATATGTTTGTATAATGAGTCGCGTTATATATTACTATTGATGATTATCACTATTCCGTTTGAGTAAATCACAAACTTGCATGTGAATTCTAAAAATTATTTATTTAGACATAGGACACACAATTATATGTGTTTTTCTCAAAATAAATAGTCTAAAAACTGATGTCTCAATAAAAAATAGTTAAAAAAAAACTAATGAAGATTATCACCACCAACGATAATGAGTCTTTAGTCTTATCGTGTTGTGTATGTATTCCGTGTAAAAGTACAACATGTCGTTCCTCCCTAAACAATGTTTGCAAAGTCAAGAAACTACTAGTCGTTTTCCGAAGTTTTCAGTTACTTATTTTAACCGACGCGTAGCTTTGTATTTGGAAAAAAATATGCGATCCTTAAGTTAATAAACGACGACAATATAAAAAAAAGACAGCAAAAGAGATAACATGAAAAACGACACATAAATGGAAAATGATCATAGAAAACAACATAGTGAAACAACATGATAACTAAACGACAGCAAAATGACGTCTGAGGACGACATTGAAATTAAAAGGACTACAGAAAAAGCAACAGAAACGTTAAACGGCAATAAAATAATGAACAATAACAAAATGACTCAAAGATACAATAGCCCGGGATATGTGAGACAAAATCAATAAACGGCAACAATGTGACAGGATACAATAAGGGTCGAGCAAACAGAATTAACTACAATAGCAATGCGAAGATGACAAGTAAATTACATGGGAGGATGACATGAAAAACCAATAACAGATTAACATTGTTAAAATGACATTAAAAAGAGCAAACGAGAACAATACGACTGAAAAAAATACGAAATTGAAGAGCAACATGAGACATGACAACAAATTGGCACGAAATTAGTAAGCAACAACCAAAATGAGAAAATAACAAACCATAACAATGTAAAAAGTACATAAAAATACCAAACGACGGTGAAGGAGACCAAATAAAAAACGACACGTAGAGGGCAAAAAAAAAAGTAATGCATAGACGACAACAAAACGGCAACTTGAAAAATGACACCGTGAAAAAAGACAACAACAAAAACAAATGAATAAACGACATGAATATGTTACCATAAGACGACAGCGAAAAACAACATTCAAAGCGACACAAAGAGGATAAACGACAACAAATCAAAAACCGACAAAATTGAGACAAAATAATTAATCAAAATGAAAAAAAAAGGTAAAAGACAAAATCAGAGGAAATCTTTGAACATTGGAACTTCAATTGGGCAGTAATAAACAATGGCTTACTCCCAGCAAACCATCCGTTGATTGTTTTTTCCATATTTACAAGAAGAAAAATGGGCAACTATCAACTCTGAAGGACATAAATACCAAACTGAGCAGTGATACGTTAAAAAAAAGTCCAAAACTTCACGTTGGCTGTTGTCTTTCCAACACTCGCAACCGTTTTAACTACACCAAAAAGGCTTCAGAGCCATGTCTGAGAAAACATTATCCGTAAGCAATTTTTTAATTTTGGAAATCTGCTCCTTTTTTTCCCCTGAATACTTATTGAGTGCAGATGAATTGTTGGTTTGAGGTTGTAACTGTGTACGACGAACATATAAGAAAAAAAAAACAGAAGAATGCATATAGGAGAAATTCCACTAATTTGTACGACGAACTGTGAGTATTAATTAGCAAGTTATCGTTCATCATGGAAAAATGCGCTGCGTGTGTGTGTGTTAATGTTGAAAAACAAAGATTTTGCAGAGATTTCTTCATTACTAAAAGAAAATGGTGAGATTGCAAAGAATGATACTGAAGTACAAATCAGCCAATCACAATGAGTGTCTGATTAAATACACAGCATTGTTAGTAGAGACAGCCTAACGACAAGGCATAACAACCAACGTTACACAACAAGCTCGAACTCCTCCTACAACTACTAATACTAGTACTAAATAGTGGTGCTCATTAACAATGAACGTTTAGTCTAATACTCTTCTAGTTAATCATCACGGAGACGTGACATGGCTTCTGAGTCTGCTGGAGCGCCTAACAGGAGTTATAATCTCTTCATCTCCGCGTCCCTACCAAAAAAAAAAAAAGGAAAGTCAACACATAAGAAACATATATATGTTTTGGTCATGTTCATGAATTTTTTTATGTAAGTGAGAAAAAAAAATATGATTTGTGGTTAAAACTCACATATTTGGTGGGGATGTTCTCATAGGTCGTGAAGCTTCCGTAAGACGGTGAACCCATCGAGGACTCCATCGACGAAGCCATAGATTCCCTCCTTTGGTTCTTCTTGGCCTTCCTCTCATAGCTCCAAGCTTCATTAAGAGAATTCAGTCCTTTTGTATTGTTGTTGTAAGAAGAAGTGTTCTGATAGCTGCTCATCTCCGAGGGACAAGACTCGCCAGAACAGTCCCAAGAATAGGGTTGCACCTCAAAAGTGTTCCCGTGCTTGGAAAGAGTCGGACTTGAATCCAATTTCTTAGTCACCAATCTCTCACTTTTAATGACATCGGAATCATTCAAAGTTGAGTTGTTATTCCCTTTCCTCACAAAGACAAAGCCTGTACAAGCAATTAGAGCCAAAACAAATAAGGCTATTCCCAACATATTCACTTTGGTGAAACTATTTTCTGTACTGCCATCAACTGCAACATCTACTTCTGAACTTTGTGTGCCCTCTGATAAAGCATCAACTTCTGGTGCTTCAAAAATAAAAAGATCTTCATTTGCAGCCTCCATTTCAGCACCAGAACTCATATCAACCTCATATTGGGAAATCCCAGCTTCCAAAACTTCGGGTTGGGCTGCTTCATCAGTCTGCGAAATCGGTATCGGGTTATCCTCAAAATCACCAGGAAGTTCATTTCCTTCTTGACTAACTTATAATCTACATTTATGAATGAAGTATTTTCAGGATAATGTCTCGTTTTCTATTTTTGGTCTTTTAATAGGACCTCAAAATGATATTAGATTGAAAAAATAATTAAAACAAACAGTTTTTAATACATATATCAAGAGTAGAAACAGTTATTTCAATAGTCTATCTTTTGAGTGCCTAGATGTGTATACTATTGATGAGACTTTCAAGTTTCGCATACGTCTAACTTTTATGGGATATGTTCTATTGGATTGTCATTTTCCAGTTCGTATCATGGAATATACTTACATGGTGATCACTTTATCGTTAAACAGCCATTTGATGTTGATTCTGGAATCCAGGTTAAGCGTTTTAAGCAAATAATTTGTATCGTTAAACAGCATATTTCAAGGACTTATTATCCACTCTTAAAACTGAACAAGACGCGCAGAAAAGCTTCTCCTTTCCTTTTGATTTCAGTATATACACGGGAATACTGGATGAGGAAAAAAATGGCATGCACGTTCATGATTCTGACCAAAAGAAGAAAAATAACTGGGAATATCCAACTTTTCAGCAAAAATAAATAAATAAATAATATGGAATATCCAACGGATTAACAGGGGAGACTTGCGACGTTTTTCTCACTTTTTTACCCCCTGAAAAGTAAAACGTAAATGCAACATCCACCATATGATATATATATGTCAAACAAAATGAAATATGCAAAGAACGGTTTGTAGAAATGTAGGATGAGATTTCATATTCAGATGCTCCCATGTATAAATATATATATATATATATATATAGAGAGAGAGAGAGAGAGAGAGAGAAATCATAAGTAACATGAGACATAATAATATCACAAAATTACAAAGCCCTCAATGGCTGTCAGCTATGTACATATTAGCTACACACAAAATATGTACACTATGTACATTGTAGAGTCTGGCTTTGGTTTACCAAAAGGGGCACCACCTGAGAGAAGCAAAATAACACATGTTAGTCTAATAAGGAACTTTTCTTTTATATCCGTTGGGTATTAAACTGGATATGCCCGTCTTTTCTGAAGATAATCAATCCCTTCTATCAAGTAATATCATTAATAGATGGCCGAATTTTTTTTTATAGGTAAATGACCGTTTTTAATAACGGTCAATCACTGATGTTCAATGATATATAATTGATTTACCCATGGTTTATCAATGAACACCCCCAAATCAATCAATGATACACCCCCAAATCAATCAATGATACACCACCAAATCAATAAGTGATAAACAGTTTTATCACTGACTTACCGTGGTTTATGGTTGATAAACGGTAATTTCCCTAATTTTACAAAACTTCAGCCATTTACTAAAAAATAACTTTAAAAAGGCCATTTTTACACTGAGCCCTTGTTAGTAACCTCTTATAAGAATCCTTAAACTAAATATATCTAGGAATTCAACTTCTACCCTTATCCCATGATCATTCCCACTATTATGTACTTGTCCTGGCCAAAATATAAATTGTGAAATTGACAATCATTTTAACACAATTGTGACAGAAGTGTATATCTAAACTACTCAACAATCAATATGAAACTGACAAGACGCTTATGTGTTCCACATTTTCATAATGCCCACAAATTAAGATAGCTTTACATGGAAAAGAGGGTTAAATTGCAAAAGCTTACCCGACATAATTTTGACACAAATTTTCATGGGATGTAGCTTGGGTAATCAACTTTTGAACTTGCAGCTTGACACTTAAACCATGATCCACTTCACGACTATCTCCAGAGATCAAAGTATTATGATCAATTGCATGTGGAATAGAGTTGGTTGATATGGAAGAGCCAGTGGAAAAGTCACGTCCAGTAAGTTTATTACTCATCCGAGCCATGACAACCACAGCGCGCTCATTTAAGACCTCATTCGCATCACCAAGTTGATTAACAGCCTATATTAAACCAATTACAAATGTAAATACATTCACTAGTACCATATGAAAATGTCTAACATGCTGAGACTATAAAGTACCTGAAGGAGTTCCCTTTCACGAGCACCCCGTTGGGGTTGAAGCAGATCTCTATTTTGCGGAGGCTCTTCAGCGTTCACAACAGCAGGAACAAGAGTGCTAGTGAGCATTGACATTTGTGGAACTTCATTGAAGTTGAAAAGACGCCAATTGATGAGAGGGTCATGAACAAAGGCCTGAAACAAGGATAAGAATCAGCTCCTTTATAAATGGTTTAGTAGTGTCCATCGTAAACTAGAACCACATTACTGACAAACAAGGACGCCTTTCCATTAACCTCCCAGTCATGGAGTAAACCAGAATATCCATATTG